TTCAAATTTTACCTGGCTTTCATTTATTCCTGAGCTACTTTAAAGTCTTGGATTCCCTAGGCCTTATTCACAATGAAAACCAACAAACCAAAACCCTATTACAAAACCCGACTTTATTCTACATAACTAAATCCAAATCCGTTTGCTTTTTTTTTTTTTTAACGCACCTTCACATCTAAAGAAAGTGCTATGTACTAAGATCCCAAACTTTACTGGAAATCATACAATAGCAACCTTGTTCAAATCTGCTGAAATGCTCCGATAATCGCTAGGATCCTGAACTATAAAATGAGCATAAGGTTTATTCATTTAAATCTAACAGGAGAATTCATAAAAGACACTGCGAATGTTAAGAGTTGTGAAGAAAAGGTATCTGTATCTTTCTAACAAAATTTTGAGCACTGCTAAAGGCATTCACATCCGCCACCGTATCTGACATCGTTATGAAAAAGCAGCCTAACCCAATAAAAATATTCACATCCTCCTTCGCAGATCACTAAATGGAATTACGAGAGACAGTTGGTGACAAAAAAGCCCTCCTGGAATAAATGAAGGTAAGCAATGCCTATCAATCAGCCTCTTCAAGATGTACACGTATATTCTTCAGAATATGATCCCTAAGATGACAGCTTCCTAAGATGATGAACTTCAGTGGCTTCGTGGTGGTTTCAACAGCCATAGTGCAATGGGGCCTGCTACCCTTTTCCGAGGTTAAAAGAAATGCTTCTCCCTCTGTCCAAGTGGGTCACTGCAGCTTTTCTCTTTGTTCAGCCTTTTCGGTGGAGGTTGCCAAGCTCTAACACGGTTCACTGCATAATTTAAATATGGGAAGTGGTTAAGGCCAAAGAAGGTAAAAGGCCAACGCTGCTGAGCAGGGGTGAGTATGTGTGTGGATGTGTGGACCAGGGCAGCTGAGATTTAGGTCACCTGTGGGGAGAGAGCTTCCAAGCACTAGATCCTCATTGTTTACCTGTATTCACACTTTCTTCTCCTCGTTTTGTTTTTGTAATGTTCTAAATGATGAGCCATCTTTTAAAGGCCTTCAAGGTAATTTGCAACGACTTTAAATAACAATGATCCAATCGTCCTATAAACAGAACTCTGTAAATAGAACTGGCAAGATCGCAGCAGTGGGGAGGAGGGGCAGGAAAATATGAACTTCCTGGGGTTAACCACCCCTTCTACCCAGTGTCTCTCTCTTCTTTGTTGAGTTCCTGAAAGCACAGCCCAGAGAATTCTAGAAAGACCTAAAGAGGATAAAACCCTCCTGTGGAGATGTATAAGACTTGTAGTTTTCCCTGTTCTGTCACGAATGTTTTAGGTTTTCTTCATTTTCTTTTGTTCTCTATGGCATATGAGAGTATTAGAATTATACCTAATAGGCAGAACAGCAGCACGCGAACAACAAGGCAACACATCTCAAGCCTCAAGACTTACACAGATTATTCTACTTTCCTATCCACGAGAGCTATCTTAGTAAGGACCTTGGCGTGTGATCTTACTTAGAAGTACCGTGGCATATGCAGATGTTATCCAGTTGAGACGCACCGGCTGCAGCAGACCCTTACTCAATAGGACGGATGTCCTTTTAGGAGAGGAAAATGTCGTGTGCAACCAGAAAGCACTAGGTGAGTGTCCTGTGGTGACACGGAGGAGAGTGTAATAATACAGCCAAAACCCAAAGAATGCCAAGGGACCGGTCAGCGCCAAAGCTAGCAAGAAGCAAAGAAGAGCTTGCAGGGTTTTGGCCTTTTGGGTTTTCAGCTTTCAGAACTGTGAGAGGATATGTTTGTGCTCTTCCTTTCTTTTGCTTTTTTAAAGAACTACTTAGCTAAAAGCAGACGTTATTAAGACTTGCAGATATAGCAATCTTCACTGAAATAGGTGTTATCAGAAGGTGAGAGGGATGTTAAAGGAAGTGAGGGCAGACGTGGAGGGAAGGGTAGCCAGGTACAGTCGAAGTACTCAGCACACGTAAGTGAAAACAGAACCGAGGACCACGAAGGAATGGGTAGAGTTATGAGAGATGAGCAAGAAGGATGGAAGAGGTGCCAATGATCCAGACGCACTGGACTCACACGCCAGCATGGCAAACTGAAACTCCTGGGTATAATTACTTAAAGATAACTTTAAAAAAAAGGTTCAAAAAAGAAGGGAAGAAATAGCCGGGTGCTGGTGGCTCACACCTGTAATCCTAGCTACTTAGGAGGCTGAGATCTGAGGATTGCAGTTTCAAAGCCAGCCCAGGCAGGAAAGTCTGTGAATGAGACTGTTATCTCCAATGAACCACCAGAAAACCAGAAGTGGCGCTGTAGCTCAAGTGGTAAAGTGCTAGCTTTGAGCTGAAGAGCTCAAGGACAGCACCCAGGCCCAGAGTTCAAGCCCCACCACTGACAGAAAAGAAAAAAAAGAAGGGGGAGAAGAAATAAAATAATAGACTACCACCATGCCTGTAGTAAATCCTAATTTTATTTTACCACCCATAGCTTAACCCCTACTCATAGATACCATCAGCTCCATCTCCTAACTTTACTCCACAAGGGCACTGCCCCCTTGTCTCTGGGCACAGACAGCAAAGGGAATGCCCACACACTAACAAAAGCCACTTCTGTGGATGTTTGATCATACAGTGGAAGAGTTTTGAAAACAATCAGAGAGGGAGAGCACAAGGTTCTCTGTGAGCCGCTGCCCCCACGCTGTGGAAAAGCCACTGGAGTCACACATGCTCCTGCGTGTTCCTGTCCTGGCAGTGCCTACCAGCGGCCAACAGCTGGCTACCCCCTCCTCCTTCCTTCTTGACGACCTTGATTCTCGGCCAGGTACAGTGCTGATTATAATAGATTATAACTCCCAGCCTCCTCTGTCAGGTGTGGTCAGCTGATGAAGTTCAGGTCAAGATGAAAGACTCTGCACTATTCAAGATTTTTGTATCCCTGACACAGAAAACCTGCCTGGAATGCAGGTTGTATAGCGGAGCTCTAGCAGCTATTTTAGAGTACAAAGTGACCCCACCCTTCCAGACAAAAGACCCATGCTAATGAAGACAGAACAAGAAGGCACCAGGCCCAGTCCTGGATGATACTCTTAGTACCTTTTGCTGACTGCAGATTCCTTCATGTGGAAGCAATACAGACTCTTATTTTATCAAGCCCCTGTATGAAGGATTAGCTACTTGATATATAGAAATTGAACAAAATCATCATTGACATGTCTTATCACACAGTGCAAGGAGCCTGCCTGCCTTGAGACAAGACATTTTAGACTTTCTCCCGTGTAGAAATTCTTTCAATCATCCTAAGGTTACACAGCCAAACGCGCCTGTCAGGAAGTTCTACCCTAGCACCTTTCCACAGGAACAAAAGCTTGAGAGCAGCGCTGCCTGGGTGCTTTCTTTCTTACTGATTCCAGTGTCTTATGGCTCCAATCTCAGCTGCGTGACAATGCAAGGCATCTCTGAGAAACACACTGAGTGCAGCCACTGTTCAAACCTGGCCTGGTTATCAACTTCATTCCATACGCCCCAAACCACATGTGCCCCTATTATAGTTATAAGGCACTGAATTAATACACAAAATCACCAATTATTTTTATGTAAGCACTGGAAACAATAACAACAGGGTATTAAGAATTGCAATGGTATGAGGAAGGTACGCTATAGCTTTGTTAGTCCTCAGAAAGCATATGAGAATCTTAAATAGCTGGGCTTAGGAGATATGCACACACACACACACACACACACACACACACACACACACACACATTACAGCAGTAACAATAGGTACAAGCTATAAATTGACAAATACTGCAAGACTTTTATCGTACATGCACTCTATTGGATGTATGTTACTTGCAATTCAAAATAAATACCTTAGGGGTGACATTGATCAAGATACATTATACTCACAAACTGACATGTTGAATTGAAACCCCTTTGTACAACTACTTAAAGATAACAAAAAGGAAGACAATAAATGAATAATATGACAGTCCCTATTTTACAGAAGAGGAACTGAGCAGCTCGGAGGGAAAATTATTTAGTAAGATTGCAGCCAGCTTGTGGCAGAGATTACAGCCAAACCCAGAATAGCCTATAAGCTTAAAAGTTTTAGCTGTTCAATCCTGTCTCTCCAAATAGTCTGTGAAAAAAAAATAAAGAGAATCTTTATTTGCTTCTCCTTAGAATTACAATTAAACAGTCTTATGTTTCTATCTCTGCTTTATATTAAATGAGCATTTCTTACACTTAAAATGGAGAAACAAACAAAGAAACCTGGTAGAATTTGTCAATAAATATTAAATAATGTTAGAAAACAAATGAAATGAATCACAAAAGTGTTCTACCTCATTCTGCTCTTCGCTGACACTTGCACTTCAGCTGACCAATACATTTCCCCAATAAAAGTAAGTTATCAACAGCAGGTCTGAAAATTAACACCCACAGGACATGTTCTTGCATAACTGCAGCCTTGTATGGCATTTCTTCTGAAAGAGTTCTGCTTTTCATTTTTCACCTCTTTGTGGAGCTTGCTTTTTAATAAAAGGAGAAAACACTGAAAGAAATCAAGCCCTCAAAGCATTCATTGACTGTGTCCAAAATTAAGCCAGGATTCAGGCAACGTATATTTAAAACATATGCGCACATTTGTGTGGATGTGGCTATTTCTGTTTCGTGTAAAGATCAGTGTTTTAAAGACAGCAATTGCATTTGCAGTTTATGATTAGAATAATGAGTATTTTCTTTGGCTGTTGAGAGTTAAAGAATGAAAATATTCCTCTAAGAAAATCAAACAGAAGGTTAGAGCGCCCTCTTTCTTCTCCTTGAAGAGATTCATCCAAGTTCCTCTCAGGAGGCAAGTTACCAAGCCCAGAGCTAGCTATCCTTAGGCTCTGAGCCTGGGTTCTCATTCTACATTACAACTATTGGAATATACTGGCCGCAGATTACCCATACATGACTTAAAGAGTAGAAGAAAAAAACATTTAAAAGAAGAAATACTCACAAAGCCATTTCAAACTGTTCCAGCCATTTTTTCTTTAAATCTTTTGTTTTGCAATAAAATTCTAGCCCATTCTGTCCCTGGATATGGATGAGGTAGAAGCCGTAAGACCACTGTCAAAATCAATATTCTCTGGGTTAGTATGCGCCATTTATTAGGGGGAAAAATCATGTTACCCACATCACTAAAGCATCAAGATAACCACCTAAAACTCCTTGGTAACATAATCAACTTACAATGTATACACAAGCAGGCTTATATTGCAGTCTACTTTGTATCTATGATAAATTCATTTCACTGACTTGATCTTAGGACCTTAGCAATGTTCAGATCACAAATGTCTGTGCCTTACCTGTCTGTTAAAAAAACAAAACATCTCAATGAAGAAGTCACATTTTACTTTAACGGAAGCAGATGAGACTATATTCATCTCAACCCTGGGCAACAAAATATTTTTTTAAATTGCCTCTGGACTGGCCATGTTCAGACTTTTATAATTCTTATTACCTTTCCAAAACAATACAGTGTAAAGCAGCCAGGCAGTATACATAATCTAGAGATGAGAATGCCTGAATTATATGTAAGTCTTGTGCCATCTTATATGAGGGGCTGGAATGCCTGCAGTAGTGGGAGGGGTTCTGGAAACCAAGGGATGGTGTGTATATTAGCATATGATTAGCATATTAGCATCCTGACTATTCAAGATTATGAATACATTATAGATGCTGATGTCTGAGAAGTCACCTTTTTATTTTCCTTATCCGTGGTAGGATTATTGGCTATTTTGTACTGCTGCAGATCTATGATTTCCTTCATTTCATAGTTATCACCTTTCCTCTTACAAACAATCACGGCCAGATCAAATAAGAAGATATGCCTGCAAAAAAGAGAGAGAGAGCAATTGGTCATGATTACATGCTCTAGAAGTATGCATATTAATCTCCCCGGGTAAGATGTGACTACACCAAACAAATATTAAAGGCATTCAAGGCAGAGCTGCACAGGGAGAAGACTGAGGAGCCAGACCTCTGAGGGCCAGGCCTAGGGAAGCAGGTCCGTTAGCCTGTGAATAGCCTCACTGCATCTTGGTCCCCTCATTTAAAGCCAGGCAAAATCCCAAGAGCAAGAAACATACTGCAAAGTTGTTGAGAGGGTGAACAGAAATAAGGCAGAAACACTTGTTCCTGACTGTTGCTCTTTTTATATTTCAAAGCTCAGCAAAGCCTTAAAATGGTTAAGATACTAGGCATGTTCTATGAAGTTCCACCCATCCAATCCCATTGCCCAGACAAAGGTCCATCCCTTTCACAGGGCTATGTAAAAACATCATCTGCATCTCACTGGGGAGTAAGCCAAAGCCGAGAAAAGATAATTCCATAAAGGTTAAACCAGCCAATGCTTGCACCCAGGGATAACTTTATTTTTATTGTGCCAGGATTGGGGCTTGAACTCAGAGTCTCACCATTTTCACTCAAGGCTGGGGCTCTACCCACTCCACCCACACCTCGACTTCTAGCTTTGTGGTGGTCAACTGCAGAGTCTCATAGACTGTTCTGTCTAGCTGACTTCAAATGGCAGTCCTCAGAGCTCAGCCTCCTGAGTAGCTAGCATTATAGATGTGAGCCACCAGCATCTGGCCAGACTCACTTTAGAACCTGTGCTTTTCCCCTTGCTGTAGCACTTCATGACTGAATTAATGGAACACCCAAAATACACATAGTTTGCAGGTGAGCAAAAGATAAACTACAGAAGTGAAGGTCAAATTGTCCATATCAATATTTCTCCTTTTTTTCCTCCTTGTTTTTTAAAAAAAGACAATGTTGTAATGTGTGGAAGAAAACAAACCTCCCTGACACTACCATCCAACATCACTATCTGTGTGCTTTCATAGCTGTCCATGATTAACACAGAGAACATTAAACATAGTGATGATGACAACAATGACACAGCACAGAACTCTAACACTTTCATCACTTTTAAAGTCTAAGGTTTTAAGGATTCTGTGTGGCTCTGGAGGCCACCTGTGGAGCCTGGGGATTCAAGGTGGAAGGAAGAGCTGATGCTGCCCCCTGCTGGCTGATGTTTTGCTTCTCCAAAGATTTCAGGAAACAACCACAAAGCATCAGTTTGACAATCGTATCTATAATATTACCCACACTTAAAGGACTTAATTTTCAAAGACTCCACTGAAAAGAAAAATTCCCAGAAGAAAATATATCACTACATGGTACTCGCTTGATCTTCTTCTTTAGGATATTTTCTATTACATGTAAGTTATTTTTTTAAATGAATACCAAAAAAGGTGTGCTCCTATGATGGTCATCCACCATAAAAATGGAACTCCATCTCCATTACAATTTCAATGTATACTTTTTAAAATAGGTGGTCCTCAACATTTTTAAGAGCTTACACAAATGAGCAAGTACTATAACTGAAAGGGACGTGATATCTATATTATAATACCATGAGGTATTCATCAATAGCAGGCACAGTATCATAGCCATCTATGATATCTCTCTTAGAAAATTTTAGGAACTTCAGTTCAGTCTGTGCCTCATTTTTTCGTTGTCTCTTTCCCTTTTCCTTTATCATAGGGAAGTTGCCTGAAGGATTTCTCCATCTTTTGATACTAATTACTTATTTTCACAACCAGTATTGCTCCCTTCTTCTCACCTTTCTTGTTTTGTGTGCTTGTCCAGAGTAGTTATTCGAATTTCTCCATCTCCTTGAGGCCGTCCAAACAGTAAAACTGGTTGGTTCTAAAATATAAAATGGATCTGTCTGATTTCTTCATCATCACATAAAAACAGAAATAAGTATCAGTAAAGATTGTGTCAAGGGCCACTAACTAATTACATTATAAATGTTATCATATTTACATATTTTTAAATAAATGACTCTGAAAAAGCCCAGGACTCCATCACATTTTCTTTTTGGTATGGGTCCTAGGGCTTGAACTCAGGGCTTAGGCAGTTTCTGAGGTTTTAAGGGTCTTGCTTTTGTGTTTTGTTTTGTTTTGTTGTTGTTGCTTAAGATACTACATGACTTGGGCCACAGCTCTATCTTAGGCCTATTTGGTGGTTAACTGGAGATAAGAGTCTCACCGACTTTCCTGCCCAGGCTGGTTTCAAACTGCAATCCTCAGTCTTCAGCCTCCTGAGTAGCTAGGATTACCAGCGTGAGGCACCAGTGCTCAATTCCATGACACATTTCAAATAGATGTCTGTCCTTTGTAAGCCCAGAGTAAATATTTAGGACATTAATTAATCCTACTTATAATTATCTTAAGCGGGAAGTTAGGTACCAAGAGAGAGGAACAACTGGGTGAATAGGAACCACAAGGAAAGTATAGCAGGAATAGTTGGAGAACATCAGTGGTTTGGTTGGCACTGTACCATCCACAAGGCAAGTTGGTGGAGCCCCACTTCCTGGGAACAAAAATTCACAGAAGCATCTAATTACAAATGCACAATGACCCTGCTGGCAGAGAATAGGAAGGGAGATGTAAAGCAGTCCACATAGGCAGGGATGGCTTCCTTGGTGTATGATGTCAAGGATGAAAAAGTCCCCCAGAGGAAGAAAATAAAAATACTGTAAAGTATTTATAAGCACTTATAGTACGTACTAAGAAAAAAAAATTGATTTGAGATCATCACTAACATCTAGAGATTCCATTGTGATAAAAGGCACAGATGTCTGCTTTGTTAACTCCATTACATGAAAGCATTAAAAAATACGCTCCCTGTCAAAATTCCAAAGACGTTTGTTGCAGAAATAGAAAAATCCCATCCTAAAAGTCATATGGAGTCCTGGATAACCAAAACAACCTTAAAAAGGAACAAAGCTATCACAAACTTCCTGACTTCCAAAATTATTACAAAACTATAATGATCAAAATGAATGAAGACAGACATAGAGACCAATGGAATAGCAGAGAGACCAGAAATAGGTTTTATTTGTTTTTATCATACATTTATGGACCCAATTTCAATAGAATATTCAATGGGAAAAGAAAAGTCAATTCACCACAAATGGTATAGGAATACCATCCACAAGCAAAAGAATACAGTTTGACTCCTCACTTTATACCATGTATTAGGAATTCAAAATAGACCAAAGACCTACACATAGAAGCTAAAATTATTAAAGATGTTAAAAGAAACCAGAGGAAAGTTATTATATTGGATCAAGAAATGCTCTGTTAGCTATAAAAAAAAAAAGTGTAAGCAAAAATGATAAAATGGATAAACTAGAATTGATCCCATTAGAGACATCATCCAGGAAGTGTTTACCAATAATTTTTGTCAGAGCAGAGACTGATACTTAAGACAGGTCTATAAAGTCCTGCAAACACAGTAACAAAAAAAAAAAAACTAACAACGTGATGCAAAAAAATGGTCAAGAATTTAAATGGACACTTCCTTAAAGATATTAAATCCACCAAATATATAAAAAATGTTCAAGGTGATTAACCATTAGGAAAATCAACACAACAATGAGATATTAGTTCCCACGCATTGGAATGCCTCTTACACCTACATGGTTTCGAAAGTCACTCAAAAACAAGCAATGACAAGAATATGGAGAAACTGGAACTCCATGTATTGTGGTAGACATATAAAATGATGCTGTTGCATGGAAACATATGGACATTCTTCAAGAGATAAAACACAGAATTACCATATAATCCAGACATTCCACATTTGGTCTAAAATTGAATACACGCAACGGGGTACGCTACCCAAATGTCTGATAAATAAATAAAATGTAGGGTGTCTATATACAAGGACACACTATTCAGCCTTAAATAGAATTTTTCCAAAATAAATTTGGCACTTAACAACAATTGAGGTAAGCACTGGTGGCTCACACCTGTCATCGAAACTACTCAGGAGACTGAGATCTACAGATTCAGGTACAAATTGATGATGTTTAAAGTATTCAGAATTCCAGGTAGGAAGAGATGATTAGAGACTACAAAGGAGGCAAGTGACATTGTACTGCAATGGGGATTCTGGCTGGATGTGTGAAAAGTAGGCCCAAGATGGCTAGGAGAAGGCAACAATAAAGTTACTCTACTGAAACAGCATTTTCAGTCTATTCTCTATCTGCACAGCCCCCAGCATAATCCAGGCCTCCATTCTTTCTGGAAATCGCTTAAAATATCCTGATAACGGGGCTGCCTGCTTAAAAGGTCTCCTGGAAATGTAGATGTGATTTCTACACAATCTGAGAGAAAGGCTGCACGAGCTTCTGTTGTCGTCATGATAAAATCCCACTTGTGGCCTAGACCTTGGCTTTGGCCTTGGCCTACAGGGTTGTGAGAGGAAATCCCGTTGACACCCCATTGACATCAGAGGACCCACCCACCTTGCTCCCATTTCACTATTCTCCCAACTTCCTGCCACCCTTACCTCTCAGCTTCTTGTATACAGAGGTGGACCTCACCCACCTCTGGGCGTTTCATTTGCTAAGGCTTTTACTTGGATCACTATCCCCCATGTGATCTTCCTGTGGATTCTTCTTAGCTTTTGAAGGTCCCGGTTCAAATAGTAAGTGCCTCAAAAAGACCTAGCCTCTTCTCTGAATGAGAACTCCCGTTATCAGTGTTCATCTCCATATGCCATGTTGAAACTGGATCTTGACTGCTTCCTTAATCAGATCACAGTGTTCTGATGGCAGTGACAATCATGTCACAAGCAAAGTGCCTCGTATATATCGATATAAATAAATGAAATCAGATAGGCATTGAGGAAAATGTGGATGCCAATGCTCAGCATTGGGATTCTTGGGAGAAGCAGCAGAGTGTCACTCAGAAAGGGACACACAGGCAATGGCCGGAAGTCCCTTCTTGGGAAAAGACAAGGAATTCACAGTTACCATTGGGTGTCTATGTGAATGCTGGCAAATAATCGGAAGAAAAAAACCCAACAACTCTGTACAGCAGAAACTTGAAGGTAAACTATCTTTTCTTCCACAATGGCTCTGAGAATATCTACCAACTTGGGGTGAGAAGAAGCTAGATAGAAGAATAATTACATACCAAATTTTCTATAGATAGCTGAAACTGTTTAATTTCACGAAGGGTCTCATTATCTCTTTTCACTTCATTCACATATTGTGCCAAGTCCTAAAGAATAAAGGGAAAGGGACAAAAAAGAAAACACACTAAGATTAGAGGAGAGATGCAAACTGCTTTGAAAGAAAATACAGCATTCCTTCCCTTAATGAGGAAAGCAAGCACCATAACTTTTCCACCATAATGAAGTGAACACCCAATCAATCAAAGCTGCGGCTCAAAGGCAATTTTCAGATGTCAGAGATACAGCTGGGAAAGCTGAAAAGTTGTCAGTTTTCCCCCACCCTGAAAAGGAGAGCGATGATAATGTCTTTAAAAATCCCCAAACGAACAAAACAGCAAAAGCTTTGTAAAGCAACAAAAGAATGTGAATTGCAAGCATATTAATATCTGGCCTTGAGAGGGTTTATCTTTACTCAGATTACAGCAAGGTTAATAAAGAAGTATTAGTAAAGAGAAAAGAAGTAACTGCAAGTTGTACCAAGATTGTCTTCTGTAACAGTTAGTTACAGTTAGTAACAGTTAGCTCCTGACAGCATTCAGTCAAGCAAGCTAGTTCAATTTGAAGGAGTTAATAAAAGAGAGGTGAGGAATTGAACAGCCCACAGAAATGAACTGAAGTCAACCAAACACCTGGTTTTCTCTATGTGTCTTCACCTATTTTTTTAAAATAGCTTCTCATATTTGAGGAAATATTAGCTAACCTTCCTATGCTGTAACTAGCTATTTTTATTTCCAGTGCCCCAGATTTTTTCCTGTTTTCTGAGCTCTTTTCCTTTCTTCTCTGGCCTCTTAAATTCATCTACAACACAGTTTGGCAGAAAAGCAACTCCTAACTTCGTTCTAAAGAAAGTCTGAGTTCCACAAAGTGGATCTATATATACATGACTTCTTTAAAGAGAGAAAACTTTTTTGTAAGAATAAGTAATTGTGTGATGTGTGCTCATAGTGGTATTTAGATCAGCCAAACAGTGGAGCTAACAGAGAAGCTGGAAAAGAGACGCAGTTAAATAATTAGGCATAGCTCTGGGCAAGGAAACATAATTTAGTTTTTAAGAACAAGTATTTTATTATGTTTAACTGATGAGTAACTACTTCTTCCAAATTCATCTTGATTGAACAAAAATGGGGTTTGATGTATCACCAGATATATTCAAAATCCCTTCTTTTATCTACCTGTAGTTCTTACCTCTCAGGCCTAACTAAAAACCAAGAAAATCTAAACATAAATTCACTTCTACACAGAATCCAAGCCTAGTGAGGACCTCACATGAGGAAACTGAGTCACACTGGCATTCCTGAAGTTACCAGCTGACCTGCTGTTGACACGTGCCACGGCTTTCTCTTACATAGCAGGAGAGGGATGTGAAATAAAACCATCCTGTGGAATCACTTCCTCTGGTTGTAAAAGTTGGCAAACTTGCGCAAATGTTCTTTTAATAAACATCTTGGTCTCGTGTGTTTTTGTCTTGCAATGAAATCTGTGCAAGGATACCTATGTCAGTGCATTAGTGCACTCTCCCCACCAATTAAAACTCATTGTATAATAGGTTAGACTACCACATGGGCCTGTAAGCAGTTTGAAGTCTACTGAAACAGGCAAGAATACAAAGTCATCAATTGAAAGGAACCACAGGCACCACCTCACCTTCATTGCATCAAGAGCCTGCTTTAGGTTTGCCTTCTCCGTAGGATCCAGGGTATGTTTGACCAGCTCCTGTTGGCAAAGTTGACCCAGCGAAAATAAGCCATTATGATTAATACAGCATGTGCTCTTGTCATCAAGAATTTCAAACTGTGAGAAGATCCAGGAGACACCAAAAAGCATGCCACGTGCTTGGCAATGCTTTCTTTCCAAAGACCAATGGGAATTCCACCCCCCACCATGACACCAATACTATCCCCAAATGTTAGGAAGGATCTCTAACTTGCCAACGAAATGAACGAATACCTTGAACTTCTCTCTGGCTGTTCTTTTTTTTTTTTTTTGACACTATTGGGGTGTGAACTTGGGTCTTCTGTTTGCTCAGCTCAGCTGCGCTCTACAACTTGAGCCAGGCCTCCAATTCTGCGTTCTGCTTTCCTACCCACTCTATGGCTTCAAACCACCATCCTCCACACCTTAAACTTCCTAAGCAGCAAGGATTCCCAGCATGAACCACCAGTGCCCAGCTACACAGGGCATTTCTGTGGCTTTGGATTCTCACGTCTACTTCTCCATTTCAAGGACAGCAGAATGCTCTACCTGTTGCTATTTGTTATTATTTTTGCCTGCTCAGTCTTACATAGTTGATGATTTATCTTTTGCATGTGTGGTGGTGGGGGGGAGGGGCGGTTGGGCAGTATCGAGGTTAGAACTCAGGTCCTTGTGCTTGATAGGTATGGCCTCTACCTCTGAGCAACTTCCAGCATGCCTACATTTTACACAGTGACTTTTCTCTAGATTTCGCTAGCCCCTTTTATTTTTAGTTTTTTTTTTTTTAATCATCTACAAGACTCTACTACTACTAACATCCAAATATCAAGAGTCACACTCTCAATTCACAGCTAAGTTCAATACTCACTGACCCAATTAAATAAAATTCAACCTGGCTACCTCAGTTACAATTAAGACTGGAGCATGTTAGATGTGAGCCACCATGCCCCAAACTTAATCTACCATCACCCAGAAGCCTTCTCTTGTTTCTACTTGTGTTTGATCAAATTGGCACATGCATCCACGTGTAATCATGTGAGTCATAAACTCAAATATGTTCCCAGACTCCATCCTCACTTTTTCTTTACCATGTCCTACCTTCTTTTTTTTTTTGGGGGGGGGGGAGTTGTTGGTATCTGAATCAAGGCTTTGTGCTTGCACTGGCTTTTTTGTTCAAGGTTGGTGTTCTACCTCTTGAACCACAGCTCTACTTTCTGTGTTTTTTTTTTTTTGCTAGTTAATTGGAAATAAGTCTCATGGACTTTTCTCCCCGGAGTTGGTTTTGAACTTCAATTCTGAGATCTCGGCCTCCTAAGTAGCTAGGATTACAGGTGTGAACCAACAAACCGTGTTCTACTGATGTTTACTTTGATTCTGTCCCTTGAATTCATGCATCCTCCGCGCTGCTACCTCAGATAGTTCTTGGCCCTTTTTCCAATATGGTAGGATTCAGACTAAAGTTCTGACTTCAACTTAAAACAATCTAGTCACTCCACTGGTATCAGAGTTAGGATATAACTTGTTTTTTAAATCAGACCCTGACTCTACCTTGTATAGAACTCTGTGAGAGCCCCTAAAGGCTTGGGTTGACCACATACCTCTTAACAATTCTAGAAACTTCTCAGTCTATACTTCCAGTCAACTTAGGATCTATTTATTATCTACTGAATTAGTACATATTTATTATCTACTAAATTCACTGTACACCTTAAAAGAGGTTCTGCAATCTAATTTCAAGATGAATGTTGATTTCTCTCTTTCTATGATTTGCCTGTCAAACTCATTCTTTCTTCAAAGTCCAACTCAAGAACCACCTTCTAGGAATCATCTTATACTAAATTATCAAGTATTTCCCTTGAGCTACTCCTTCATGCTGGTCCCATTTATGTACCTATATAGTTGTGTGATACCTCACAGATTACATCTCTTCTCCCCTTCTAAATGGTGAGGTTTATTACTGTAGAACTTGTCATACTGGGAATGCCTAATGCTGTGTGAGGCACAAGGGAACCCCTGAAAAATTTTCAATGAGTTCAATGCCAGAAATGTTTCCTGTTATAAGCAGGCCCCAAAGATAAATCATTTGCTACAATGCTTGATAAGAAATGTACTCATTATCTTGCCCATGTAATTGTAACCCCTCTGTACAGTATTTTCACAATAAAAAAAAGTCAATGCATTTATTCCTAGTTTTACCCTTAGCTTATGAAAACAGTAAGTTACTGTTAAAAGTTTCCAACAACCCATAAGAAATTATTCTAATTCTCACAAATCTGTGATTTAAACACATTAATCATTTCCAAAATGATTTCTGGCTGGGTGCTGGTGGCTCCTGCCTGTAATCCTAGCTACTCAGGAGGTTGAGATATGAATATGACAGTTCAAACCCAGCCCAGGCAGGAAAGTCTACAAGACTCCTATTACCAGTTAACCATCAAACAACAGCAAGGGGGGCTGCGGTTTAAGAGGTAGAACACTAGCCTTGAGCAAATAAACTGAGGGAGAATGCCTAGGCCCTGAGTTCAAGACCCAGGACTAGCGCAAAATAATAATAATCATTTCCACATAAAATTATATTGGAAAGTAGAAGATGTGCAAATGCATATCACATTTAACAGATTTCTAGTCACCAAATATTGCTATTTTGAAATAGGAAAAATATTTTTAGAATTTTAATCTATATAGAGTACTCAAAATAAAGTACTCTATTTTAAAATACCATGTAACCAAACATACTCTTGAAATTTAAAACATAAAAACTACCCAAAAAATTGTTAGGAAAAGCTCACTGAGTTTCAAAAGGGTATAGTTGCATTTTATAGTTCTGTAAGTCTGTGTACAACTTTGTAAGGACTAGAGACTTAGTTTAAATTGTACCTTCTAAATTCTCCAATCAATATTTGACTACACCAAAGTAACAAAATAAATTATTATCTTATTTTGGACTTGTTTCTAGTTTCACAATGCCTTGAAAACTGATTGCTCGAGTTCTTCTCATTACTTGTTCATAAAACCCAATTTGACTGAGTTGCTTTGAGTTTCAATTTCATATGTGTTGTAATGCATTTTTAAGGTATAATCAGGATTTAAATTTTTTCTGATTTCTCAGTAGAACAAAACTAGAGATGACTAATAATTTTGTGGCCACAGTTCAAGAGATTTAATGTATAAGATGTACAAAGCACTACAGACCCAAAATTGCATTTCACATACAAGGTAGATCTTTTTAAAATGACATTTCACAAGCATCAGCAGGGCTGACAGACTAATACAGTAAGACATTTCTTTGGAGTAGAACTAATGATACTCCTGGTATAAATATCAAATTAAATTTATAGGACTCTCCACCCTCATTAGAGGACTAACCATGAAAACCATAAGCTTTGCGGGTTATAACAAGAATCACTTCAAAATAAAGGTAGGACAATAAAAAGCAAGAAATAAACTAGTATAAGAGATCTGTTAACTATAGAAGACTTGATTTTAAAAAGAAAAAGAAATCATCTAGCTACCTAGACAGTTCATATTTAGCAATAATAATAATAATTTAATATTTTTAAGGGCCAAGCCAGTCACTGATGGTTCATGCCTATAAAACTAGCTATTGGAAAGGTGAAATCTGAGAATCAAAGTTTGAATGCAACCCATGCAGGAAAGTTTGTAAGACTCTTGTCTCCAATTAGCCAGCAAAAGGCCAGAAGTGGAAATATGGATCAAGTGGTAGAATACCAGCCTTGAGCAAAAGAGGTAAGGGACAGTGTCTAAGCCTTGAGTTTAAGCCTCAGTACCAGCACCATACACACAAATATACATAAATGAAAGAAAATAGGGTCCATGGAGAATCTGCAGTTGATACTTCATTAATATATTGCTGGGCAAATAAAATATCCACAAATGATTTGGTAACATACCTGAAGAAGAAGGTGATACTTTAAGACGCGCTGCATAGGAACCACAAGCAGATCTCGAAGAGTAAATTTCCCATTATTTGCTCGCTTAGAACATTCCTAATGAAATAGTATTAAAAATTCTTGTCAGTTTTCTCAAAAGGGGGGGGACAGTCATTAACCCTACAAGAAAGAAAAGTGCACAAGGAGCACCCTTATACAGTAAGGGTTTTTTTGCTCTTTAAATATTATTTAAATATTATTTAAATATTATTTCCATTAAAGAACCAACAAGCCTTACCATATTTCAAACTAACTACAAATGAGGGGAATAAGATTTGTGTCTTATGAATGGAAAGTATTTTCTGTAGCACAAAGCCATGACCCTCTGGGGTCTTTCTCTTAGTTCTACCTTCCACCTTTCCAGCGGGATTATGAACCAAACATGGAGACCTCATCCCTATTCTTGCCTTCCTGTCACCACACCTTGCTTTATTCACTCCTGCCCGACTGCCAAGTGCCTTCTCCCAGTCTCCAGAAAAATCCATCCACCTCTTTAAGAAGTAATCTTCTAGCCAAGCCCAGGAGGTCCACACCAGGAAATCCAGCTACTTAGGAGGCTGAGATCTAAACAACGAAGTTTGAAGCCAGCTATGACAGATAAATCCACAAGGCTCTTATTCTCACAATTAACCAGCAAGAAGCTGGAGGTGTGGCTCAAGTGGAAGTGTGCCACCCTTGAGCAAAATAGCCAAACAAGAATATATGGTTCTGAGTTTAATTCCCAATACAATCAACCCCTCCCCGCCATACACACACAAAGTAATCTTCTAGGGCATTAGGAAAAGCCCCAATCAAAACTTTTCTCAAGCTGGGCGCTGGTGGCTCACGCCTGTAATCCTAGCTACTCAGGAGGCTGAGATCTGAGGATCCCGGTTCAAAGCCAGCCTGGCTAAGAAAGTCCGTGAGACTCTTATCTCCAATAAACCACTAGAAAACCAGAAGTGGCCTGTGGCTCAAGCGGTAGAGCATTCACCTTGAGCTGAAGAGCACAGGGACAGCACCCAGGCCCAGAGTTCAAGCCCCACGACCCACCAAAAAAAGAAACCAAAAACTTTTCTCAATCCTTCCTCTCCCTCCCTCCTTCCATATATACATAAGCCTCAATTATTGTTATTCATAATATCTGCCCCCACACATACATAAGTCTTTTAAGCCTCTATCTGTCATTTCCTTAATACGTATGTATTGAACTAAATGAAATGAAGTATTTGACTGAAGATTTGCTAAAATACAAATGGCTACTACTCTACTTAACATTTTTTAAAGTGTTAGAATATATCATTTTAATCTTACATTCTTCTTAAAAGTTTACTTTACAATAAAATGGACTTCATTCTTTAGGCAGTAATGACTTTGAAGAAGGTAATTTGAAATGTTCTAACCTGAATTTTAAGTCATTATGTGGCTGTTCTTTTCCAATTTTACCATTTTTCACATATATGTGGTGTCATTTAAAAAATAAAGTGTCATAAAAATACTATTATCAGTAAGCAATCTCAAAATCTAATGCCATTACCCATTCAGACCATGGGTTTTCTTGGCTCATGGCAGGAATTGTATGTAAGGAAATACTGGTGCTCAGGTGTATTTTATTAAAGTATACTGTATGCATCTCTATAAATACCAATGAAACCCCTTGGTACAATTAATGTCTGCCAACTGAAATTTGTCTGAAAAAAAGAAAGTAATACAAAGGGTGAATATGATCCAAGTACATTATATGCATTTATGTAAATACCCCCAATGAAACCCTCTGTGCAAGTAACATGCATAGATAAAAAAATTCTGAAAATGCTGTACACTGGTGGCTACCTCCTGAAATCTCAGCTACTCTGGAAGCTGAGATCTGAGTTCAAAGCCAGCAAGAACAGGAAAAGTCCATGAGACTCTTATCTCAAATTAACCACAAAAAAAGCCAGAAGTGGAGCTATGGTTCAAGTGGCAGAGCACTCACTAACCTTGAGCACAAAAGCTCAGGGACAGAGCCCAGGACCTGAGATCAAGCCATGCAAGTCCCAGGACAGACACACATGCCAATCAATCAATCAATAAACAAAATTCTGAAGGTGATAGTTAATTAGAGGGGACACAGGAGGCTGGAAGACAGCAGGGAGAACAATGGCAGTGAGGACATTAATCAAGCTATATTGTACTCAGAAACTGACATGTTGAACTGAAAGTCCTTTGTACAACTACTAGAAGATAATGAAATAGTACCAATAAAATTGTCATTTAAAACTAATTGCGAAAATGAAAAAACAAAAATCCTCATGCTCACAAGTTTGTTTCCCCTTCGCCCACACTTATATTTTCTGGCACACTAAAAGATACATGTTACTAGGAGCTATGAAGCAAACACCATTAATTATAATGACTGTTGAGATTTAATTAGTGGGATGTCTGACTATAGATTTTAGGCAAAAAAAAAACACCCCAAAACACAATTTCAACTGATTTCCTTCCTTCCTTCCTTCCTTCCTTTCTTCCTTCCTCCCTCCCTTCCTTCCTTCCTTCTTTTCTTCTTTACTTCTTTTCTTTCTTTTCTTCTCTTTCTTTTTGGGTGCCAGTCTTAGAGTTTGAATTCAGGGTCTGGACACTGTCCCTAAGCTTCTTTTGCTCAAGGCTATCACTCTTCAACTTGAACCACAGCTTCACTTCTGGTTGTTCTGGTAGTTTTTGGAATCAGAGTCTTACAAACTTTCCTGTCCAGGCTTGCTTCGAACAATGATCCTCGTATCTTAGCTTCCTGAGTAGCCAGGATTACAGGCCTGAGCTACTGATCAGTGCCTGGCTCAACGGATTTCTTGCTTCTACAGATTGTTCAGTGTTCTTGATCCTGGGTCTCAAATAGGCCAAATCATTATTATTATAATGAGTGGTAATCATTATCAGTATGATTATTAATTCATAACCATATCCCTCCTACTGCTGTTTAAAGCTCCTGAGAATAGATGCTGTGGCTTATATTTTCTATAGTAGGTCATCCCAACAGGAAACAGAAATTTTCTGCTAGGAACGGAAAGCTATGCACCTAAAAATCATGTTGAAGTACACAGAAATCACTACAGAGATTTGTGAGCACACAGTATTAGTTTAACCTTTGTTGGGGGGAAAAATCAGTTCTTCTAAGTCTAAATTTGAGGGATAAAATCTAGCCTCATTGATGTTATATATTAGGGGTGTAAAATGCTCACTAGCATTGAAAAATAATAAGGGTAGAAACAATTCTTCAGGAGCATTCCATGAAATATTTAACCTAAATCCATTTATAACTGAAAGAAAAGGAATGAGCCAGTCACACTAATATGGGCCAATATGAGGTCTTGAACTCAGAGCCTGGGTGCTGTTCCCTGGCTTTTTCTCTCAAACCTAGTGTTCTACCATAGATGCCAGACCTCCATTTCCAGACTTTTTGGTGGTTACATGAAAATAAAACAAGATTACCACCCTTCGTTCTATGTTGTTGTTTCCAAAGTAGAAAAGAAAAAGACCAAAAAAAAATTCCTAAGAATAAAATTAACCATAAAACCAAAGTCAGGAGGAGGCACAGAGACAAGACAAGGCAGGCTCCTGCCTTCCCACGGGTGCTGGCAGCAGGTAGCTCCACCAGTGTTTTGTTGAAGGACCACCGTATCTCATTACATACTTCCAAATGGGGTCCTGGTCAGAAAGGGGGCTTTTAAGCTAAGGTATGGACAACAGCATCCCTCAGCCAGAGCCTTTCAAGCCCAGCCCGAGATCTTCCCTCACCCTAAGGTATAACCACTGCTCATACAGAGCATGTGTGGAACCTGGAACATGACTGAGAGAACAAAGAACAGACATTCAACCAGTCTGAGGACTCATGGAGGTTCCTGTCACAACTTGCTGACTCCCATCTAGAACCACCATTTTATATCTTTATTTAAACAACTTCTCTAGTAACTGCTCTAGGAAAAACTAGTTGAATGAGCCATAACATTTTATTTAATTGTCTCATTTCTATTCTATTCCCTAAAGAGGAACAAGAAATACACTGTCAGCTGTTATTTAATGGCACCTAAAGTAGCTTCAGCCTTAAGGTCAATGTTAGCCAAAGAAAACAGAGGTTTAACAAAAGGACAACATTTAGTACTGCTTGGTTACCTATAATATGTAAATTTGTGAGAGAGGGGAGTTAGAAATTCATGACCACTATGCCAAAACAATAAGAGAATTGCAAATTATCCACCTCTTTCCCCTTGTGTCACTGCTGAACTAAACATAAAACAAAAAAGAAAAGTTTTGGGCTCTGGAAGCTCACACCTGCAATCATACCGTCTCAGAAGGATGAGATCTGAGGATAGAGGTTCAAAGACCCACAAGAGGGTAAGTCATTGAGACTCTTATTTCAAAGTAACCAGCAAAAAGCCAAAACTTTCCAAGCACCAGTGACTCATGTCTATAATCCTAGCTACTCAGGAGGCTGAGATCTGAGGATCGAAGTTCAAAGCCAGCCCAGGCAAAAGTCCTTGAGACTATCTCCTTGAACAAAAAAAAAAAAAAAAAAAGCTCAAGGACAGCACCCAGTTCTTGAGTTCAAACCCAAGGACCAGGGCAAAAAGAGCTGGAACTGGAAGCAAGTCTCAAGTGGCACCAGCCTTAAGTGACAAAGTCCCATAAATGAGAGGAGAAGAATAGTGATAGAAGATGTACTGATTAAGATGCACTGTACTCATCAATTGGCATGTTGAATTGAAACCCCTTTCTACAACTCCTGAAAGATAATTTTGCAAAGGAAGGAAGGGGGATGATTAAAGAGGAAAATAAATCCATACATCGGCTCCCACTGAAATCATAGCTCAGTCTTATACACAGAGCCCTCTTATGTAAAACTTACCACACAGAAACCTAAGTATAGGTATATTACATTAAGCAAACATAAGGCTGTGTGCATCTCCTTTATACCATGTCCTCTTCATCCTTCACATAGGTACCATATCTATGTCTATGGATTTGGATATATCTCACAGAGCCCCAGGGACCTAAGGATATAATGTATAAGAACTCCAAGTCTTCAATTAGACTTGCTTCTGTTATTATGACTACCATATAGGTTATTTTAGATCATCTGGGTGGTGAAACAATACGATCACATTCAGCAAGAAAATGTTGCTTTTACTTTATGTCATAAATGGAAGAATCAACAGGCACCTCTAATTTTAGTTTGACATCTTCTTTTGTCTTAGAAATGTAGTCTAAATTAGAGACCGCTGACTCCACTCCGCTGCAGTACTGCCCATAAATAACCAACCTGGAAGGGAAAAAGACAGAGGGAGAAATCCCTAAGATCAAAAGGAGGAACGAAGCAGTGGAAGAAAGAAGCAGAATTTAGATCTCTTTAAAATCACGCGTAGGACCAGGCACAGCAACACACATCCTGTACACAATCACAGAATTGTTGCTCATATAGTAATAAAAGATTCATTCTTGGTACTAAAATTGAATGGATCACGTACATTTTTATATCAAGTAGAATTTACAGTCTGCCTCAATAACTGCTATTTGGTTACATATATATTTTTTGACTATAATGCTATATTCAAATATATAATATAATCTATAATATATAATACTGTAAATGCATTATTAATACCTATTAGTTGAATGTATTACTAAAATAATAAACATTGTTTAAATACATATAAATATATATATGTTCATATATTTTTTTTAAGTTCCTATTAGAGATTAACCTGTGTGTGCGTATGTGCAATGTGTACACCGGTGCTTACATGCTATACTGAGTGTCAGGATCTTGGGCTTGATAGGAAGGCACTCTACCAAGAAGTAAACTTTTTTGTTTTATTGTGAAAATACTGTACAGAGGGGTTACAATTACATGGGCAAGATAATAAGTACATTTCTTATCAAGCATTGTAGTCTCCTCCTTTGTTTCCCCTTCCCATTCCATCATCCCCCCCGCTCCCCCATCCAACCCTCCCCCCCCCCCCCACCAAAGTTGTAAAGTTCGTTTCGACATAACTTGTTTGTATGTGCTGGTTCTGGGCCTGAATTCAGGGTCTGGATGCTGTCTCTAAGCATTTTTGCTCAAGGCTAATATTCTACCATTTGAGCCACAGCTCAATTTCTAGCTTTGTGGTGATTAATTGGAGATAAGAATTGTATGGGCTTTCCTGTCTAGGCTGGCTATAAACCACAATTCTCAGATCTCAGCCTCCTAAGTAGCTAGGATTGTAGGCATGAGCCACTGGGGCCTGGCCCAAGAAATAAACTTTTTACTTTTGACTCATAATGAGCACAGTTTTATTTTTTACTGTAATTTCACTGCACTCACTATGCCGCCACTCATTAATAAACTCCCATTCCTTACTAGCTTTTAATTAAGGAATATAAATCATCCAGCGAGCATGAATGAAAGGCTGAGCTGTAAGGAGTAGGGACCTGTTTGTGCTGCATGGACTCTTAGCCCACATACCAACATGTCCAAAAAACAGATCATTTGCAAAAGCCCATTTGGTTTGTGATTCCTTTTAATTCTCTGCCAGAGGAAACTACTAATACACTGTTAATATTTATCTATGAGTTTGAGTGAAGTAATTCATAAGCAACTTCTTATTGCTTGAAAACATATTGTTTGAAATGAGGGAACATTATATTCTAAGCACATTTTCTTGACACCAATTCATCTGAGTCATTTAGATTTATTTCTGCATGTGTGTACCAGTAGTGGGGCTTGAACTCAGGGCCTGGCCACTATCCCTTGTCTTTGTCATCTACCAATGGAGCCACAGCTCCACTTTGGGGGTGTGTGTGTGTGTGTGTGTGTGTGTGTGTGTGTGTGTGTGTGTGTGTGTGTGTGTGTGTGTGTGTGTGTGTGTGTGTGTGTGTGTGTGTGTGTGTGTGTGTGTGTGTGTGTGTGTGTGTGTGTGTGTGTGTGTGTGTGTGTGTGTGTGTGTGTGTGTGTGTGTGTAAGAGGTATTGATTTTCTGGCCTGGACTAGCTTTGAACTGTGATACTCAGACCAGACCTCAACCTCTTGAGTAGTTGGGATTATAAGGGTGAGCCACAGGTGCCGGGCTCAGGAGTATATTTCAACCTAGAAGGGAAAACTTTTGACTGTGAATCAAATGTTCCAAATTAGAGGATCATAAAATATTAAGAGTTAGAAAGAGTGTTAGGTTCCAGCTAATCTATCCCCAACACTTCCATATGGGAAAAGAATCTCTTATAGTTAAACTGACTTAAGTGACACACAGCAGTAACAAGGCCTGAGAAAGAATCTCAGCCCTTTGATTGGCAATGCAAATAATAGGAAGCTGTACATTTTAAAATACACCTACACATATAAAGGTCAGACTACTGCCCCAAGAAGGCCTGTCCTATTTCCTAATCACCGTTCAAGTAGGATTGTAACACACAGTAGAAGTAGCTCTTTATAAACTCTTTTAACACTAACCTTCACTATAATTCCAAACTAATACCCACAAATGTGTAAATGTGAATGTTACCTTTCCTTGTAGTTAATGAAAACTTGATATAAATTCTGGTCATTCTTATTTACAATGGAATCATGAATCTCTTGCATTAAGCTCCGATGGACTTTTACAAGTTCCTTAGAAAAGAAAACAACGTGAAAGAAGAGTCAGAACAACAACAAAACAGATGTCAAACCAAGGATAGATACTGTTGCTAGATCCAGATATACTGAATATATAATACCTGATCAAGAGAGGAGAGGAAGAGATAGATCCAGACAAGCAAGAAGTTGGAGGGAGAGGATAGAAAGGGAGAAGAAAGAGAAGAGGGAAAGGTACATGGAGACAGGAAGAGAGAAAAAGAGAGCTATGTGTATAAGAATTTACACTTTCTCATCTGACTAGAGGTATCAGTTCCTATGGGAAAAAGTTATTTCACTAGTTACTAGAAGATCACTTATTTGTTGCATAAAAATTCATACAGCATTTTACAATCACTGTAAAGTCTTTAAATAAAACTACCCAAGTGCTTAATGGTTTATTGACAAAAATCAAGCGACAATTCATGGGGTTGGAACACAGAAATGTAAACTTATACTTTGGTCAATTAGTGATGCCCTGGTATTAAGCTAATAATAATCAGACTAAATTACTAACGATATAAATAAGAAGCTGATAAATTGTACTAGACAGTTTACTACAGCAATTCCGAAGTCAGAACTTCACATTTTTCCTGGTAAGCAAGTGATTTTCAGCAGCCAGAAAATACAGACGGGACTTGAACTCACATTCTTTTTTTTTTGGGGGGGGGGTGGGGTCCGGTCATGGGGCCTGAGCTCTGGGCCTGGGCGCTGTCCCTCAGCTCTTCAGCTCAAGGCTAGCGTTCTACCACTTGAGCCACAGCACCACTTCTGGTTTCTGAGTGGTTTATTGTTTGTGTGTGTGTGTATATACAAAGCAAAGCCAGTTCTAGAGACCTAACCACTTGAATCTTGACTAGCATTGCCTCCTTTGGCATAGCACGTGGGTGGCTAAATTCTATATTTCTTCGAAAATACCAAGATTGTAAGATTATAATATGACATAAACTCAAAATCCTTTACTTAAATGAAGAGAAAATCACATGTTGCTATTAGATAGTCTGTTCAATGATGAGGAAGTGATGTCTCATTAAATGCAAGTTAGGACAGATACAATTGGAAGCAGAAACACAAAAGAGCAGAAGCCAAGGAAGCTGGTGAACGGAGGGAAGTGGTGGGCATCTCAGGGAGCTGGAGAAAGAAAACAGACAGCACCAAGGATTAGCTAATTGAGATTGTCTCTTCATGACAGCTAGCTATGGCTAAGCTATAATCATACTTATCCTTTTGTGTTCTGTGTTTCTTCCAATTGGTTTTTGGTTAAAGAGATAATGGATTGGTTTTTCAAGGAAATGGGTATAAGAACTGGGGAAGGAAAAAAAGGATTCAAATTAAAGAATCCAAGAGGATGCTTGAGTAAGAATCTGCAACCCATTAAGCACGTCACAACTGTACCTATATGGTGCGCTTACTCACAGGAATGTTGATGAAGACTGAATCAAATTCCGCAGCTGTCAGAAACCGTTTCAAGGGTGCCATGAAATACTATCAAGAGAGAAGAGGGAAATAATAATGAAGCATAACTTGATCGACTCTTCATGATCTTTTTTTTCCATCAACAAATAACAAGTATTTTACTGAAGTCAATTGTTTATCAGCATTATAAGTACAAAAAACAGTAGGAACTATTTTCTCTGTCTTAAGGATTTTACAGTTGGAGAATGGATATAAATATAGGCTAACTTGTTTAAAATATAAAATCAATTTTAGACAATAAACACTTCTAGAGGAGGGAGGGAGTAGGGAGGCATGGAGAGAGATAAGGAGGGAGGCAGAAAAAAGAGAGAGAGGGTGGGAGGAAGGGAGGGAAAGAAAGGAAGAGAGGGAGGCAGAAAAAAAGAGAAACAGAGGGAGAGAGGAGGAGGGAGGGAGGGAAGAAAGGAGAAAGGAAGAGAGGAAGGGAGACAGGACTACTGGCCAAATTAGTCAAAACCATGAATATTCTGGAAATACATTTGGAGACTAATAAAATATGCCTCAAGACATCGTAAAGACTCTTGAGATCAATGATATGTTCATGTGATTTTATGTATCATTTCCTTTCATCCCTTGAGAATTTCAGTGTGTTTTCTTTAGTTTAAATTTTATTGTAAAGGTGAGGTACAGAGGAGTTACAGTTACATGAGTCAGGTAATAAATATGTTTCCTTTTGAACAGTGTCACCCCGCCCCCTCGTTCTCTCCCAGCTTTTCTCCTTCCCCAAAATTGTATAATTCATTTCCAACATAGTGTCTAGTGGTTTTCACTGTTGAACTGGTTCACCGTTTAATTTCAGTATCTTCTAAGTGGAGATCAGGGAACATAGTTAAGGCCACCTTGGGCATAAAACGTTTTTGTTGTTGTTGTTTTACAGAACATCATCTCATCCAAGAGCTGGACCAGTCGGTGTACACCTTTCATCCCAGCCATAGAGGAAGCACAAGAGCTGGAAACAGTGGCACACCTCTGTCATCCCCAGCGACAAGAAATACATAGGAGGATTGCAGCCCGGGCTATCCCAGGTCATAAACCAAGATCCCTCCCCCTTCAACACACATGCACACACACGCACACAAAAACCACCTAGTGTCAGTGCCAGTAGCTCACACCTGCAATCCTAGCTGCTTAGACAGCTGAGATCTGAAGATCCCAGGGAAAATAAAACCAAGAGACTCTTATCTCTACTTAACCAGCAAAAACAGACAGTACAGAGGTGTTGCTCAAGTAGTAGAAGTCCAGCCTGAAGCAAAAAAGCTAAGCAAGAGTGTGAGTTCGGGCTGGGAAGGTGGCTCAGCGGCAGAGTGCTTGCCTTGCATGCATGAGGTCCTGGGTTCAATTCCTCAGCACCACATAAGCCAAAAAGAAAAAAGCCGGAAGTGGTGCTGTGGCTCAAGTGGTAGAGCACTAGCCTTGAGCTGAAGAGCTGAGGGACTGCACCCAGGCCCCGAGCTCAGGCCCCAAGACCGGACCCCCCCCCCAAAAAAAGTGTGTGAGTTCAAGTCCCCCAGTACTGGCACCAAAAAAATGGACCTACACATGAGACATGCGGTAGCTATCTTCCCATTCTGTTAAATGCCAATTCTACAAAAACTAGAATCACTTCACACAGCAGAAACAAGGAGTTGAGCATATTAATTACATTAGTACCTAAGAATGACTTACTTTTTCTATTGACTCCAAAGTTTCTGTATATTTTTCTTCTGTCTGCTTAATTTCTGCTAGACAACAACTCCGTATATCATTTTCTGGACATTTCTGCAGTTAGGATAGAAATAAAATGATTTAATCAAATCATATGTCAATCTACCTGGTACTATGAAGAAAGAGAACACAATCATTGCTTGATTGTCTTAAATTTTCCACTGGAATAAAAAAGATAACTGAAAGATATACTTAAATACACTTGTAATGTATCTTTGCAGTTTTCATGATTTTTTTGAACAATGTAAATTAGAAAGTTTTAGGTAATTAAGGAAAAGCTTCCATCAGAGGATAGTTAATCAGGCCTGGAATGCTAGAAGGTTAAGAACAGGAGAATTTGGGGTCCAGGACAGTCCAGGCAGAAAAGTTCCTAAGACCTCCTTCTCAATCCATAGCTAGGTGTGGTGGTACATGCCCATCACTCTAGCTCTATGGAAAGACTAGATCAGTATGATCAAAAGTTCCAGGCCTCCTCAGGCAAAAAGTCCACTGGAAGAAGGTGGGCAAGGTGGCGCATGCCTGATATCCTAGCTGTGATGCAAAGTCTAAAATAGGCTGATCATGGTCTATGTACATACACAGGTAGGAAACAAGGACTCTATCTCAAAAATAACTACCACTAGAAAGGCACAGAAGTCTGTCTCAGCAGTAGGAAAACCTAGCTAGCAAGCATGAGGCCCTGAGTTCAAACCTCAGGACTGACTAAGATAGATAGATAATAGATAGATAGATAGATAGATAGATAGATAGACAGACAGACAGACAGACAGACAGACAGACAGACAGACAGACAGACAGACAGACAGGTAGGTAGGTAGGTAGGTAGATAGATAGATAGATAGATAGATAGATAGATAGATAGATAGATAGATAGATAGATAGATAGATAGATAGATAGATAGATAGAACAAGTTTCTGAGTATAGAAATTTTCCCTTAAAAATATCCTGTACAAATGTCATTAACTTGGAAATAGTACAAGAGTTTCCTTAAGGTACAGCATATCATACATATATTATAGAAATAATCTAAAAATATTTAAAAGATGAGGAGTAAAAGTCAAATATTTTTCCAACATCCACATCTATATGGTTCTTTCCCTGGGTGTGTTGAGACTGTAGTAGGCAGAGCACCGTACCAGGATCAAGGATTCTGGGCTACAAGGAAGAAATTGGTTCAAGTACTGGATTTGCTGTTATTAGCTCCGTAACTGTGAACAAGCTCACTGCGTTTCTCCATGAAGCAGCAGCTTTAAAGGAGAGAATCCTCATTGAGTACTCTGCACCTGGCCAGGCACTGTAAGTTATCGTTATTGCTAACTCTACCCTGTCCACATAGAAACCCAGTGCTGCCAGCAGGGTGAAGCCTGTCCTCAGGTATACAGATGTGCTAGCACCAAGGCAATTGACAACTGCAGGAGGTACTGACAATGCTCATCATCTAAAATCCTTCTGAAAACGCTGCCAATGGTGACCTGTCTGCTCATGCGCTAAGTGACGCCACACGTTCATTACACTTCCCCCTGCACTGGCCGAGTCACTTGTTCTTACCCACAGAGATGTCTGCTGCCCACCAGCCCTCAATCACAGGTCAGAGCACAGAGCGTGGAGCCTCACCCGCCAAAGCTCTGAAACCCCTGCATGTCCCACCCAGAGGATGGAGAAGTCTTCTGATAAAGGAGGATGTGAACAAAACCTACGTAAATGACTTCTTCACATTTCAAATTCTAACATAGTACAAAGTAATTCTTCCTGAATGTGCTAGATACATTCACAGCAGATAAAGTTTAGAAGACACTAACTGGCTATCACTGCATGTGATTCTCGGATTCTAACAAGAGGGAAAAAGCCTACCAAAATCACCTAGCAAATGGGAAGATATTCTCTTTAACATATTTTTTTTCTGGTGGAGGTTCTGGGGTTTGAACTCAGGGCCTCATGCTCTCATTTGGCTTTTTTTTAAATCAAAGTTGATGCACTAGCACTTGAACCATACCTCCACTTCCATTTGTGCTGGCTCACTGAAGAATCTCAATGACTTTCCTGCCCACACTGGCTTTAAACCAAGACTGTCAGATCTCAGCCTTCTGAATAGCTAGGATTACAGGCATGATGCACAGGTGTTCTGCTTTATATTACATTTAAAGAGGGGAAAGTGGTCTGTTTTGCAAGAGGTTTGCTTCCTTAACAGTATAATTTCACGATCAACTTAAACTATATTCTACAACCCTTCTGCCATTGTTTAGCTAACTGGCCTGCCATGTACCATACAGGTATATATACTAACGTGAAAGGATCCGACCAGAGATTCCTATGGTTGTTTTGAACTATAAATATCATGTTCATACCTCCAGACACAAAAGTGAGTCACAGTAAAGTTATGAGCAAGAAAAAAGTAAAGGAAATGAAAAAGTGTAACAATGAAGTGAACTAATCTTTTGACTCATCATTTTGCTAATAAAACACCCAGAGTCACTTTAAGAACAAATAAAAGTAGGTAAGGATGGAGGAAAAACTGGGAGAGAGCAAGGGAAGGGGTGACATTGCCCCAAAACAAAACGCTGACTTACGTAACTGTAACCCCTCTGTATATCACCTTTATAATAACGATAGAATTTTTTTTTAATTTAATTTAATTTTATTTGTGAACATACTGTACAGAGGAGTTACAGTTACATGGGCAGGATGGGCAGGATAATGCATACATTTCTTACCAAGCATTGCAGCCTCCTCCTTTGTTTATCCTTCACATCCCTTCCCAGCCTCCCCCCTCCCCCCCGCACCAACGTTGTAAAGCTCGTTTTGGACATGACAACTTGTACTTCTCATTGTTGCAACAGGTCCACCTGTATCCTTAAACAACTGGTTTTTCCCCATCTCCTCCACAAGTTATACTGACATCAAATATAGTGAAAGCAGGGGTTATACTGTGGAGGAGGGACATACAAAGCAACAAAGAGATAATCTTATAAATGTGTTAGAAACACATGCATGAAAGAAAGAAACATTAAAATACACATCTAAGGGTTCATTTTCCTGACATCACATTATCTGACCTTTTCCGCTTGACTCATTCATATACTAGATATTACAAATAAGGGAAACCATGGGACCTACGTTTCTTTGGGCCTGGCTTACTTCACTTAATATAATTTTTTCCAAGTTTACGATAGAATTTTTTTTAAAGAACAAGTAAAAGTCATACAGGTTGGTGCGGTTCCTCTGCTTTCATTAAGTCCTCGTATACTTCTCCCCCTTCATCTTCTCCATAAACACAGTCATAGAGATCTTCTTCATCTGCCACTCGGGTTTCACTAAAACGAAGAATACAACATGTAACGTCGTTTGCTACTATTGCATAATAAATGCATGGTATAGAACAGCCTGCTAGGTTTTAGAGACAAACAGAATGGAAGTTTTCCCCTTGATTGCCAGAGAAGCCAGAGAGGAAGAAGAATAGCATTGTGTGAAACGCTGAAAGACTTTCCCACTGGCTCTGTCCCCTCAGCCACAGAACTTAAAAACCAAACCACAGAACTTAACAACCAGAGCGACGGTAACCAACACTTTCTAGTTATTTACTTTTTTATTTAATTTGTAGAAACTCAAAAATGACTCATCTGTAGATTTTTCTCTCACCTAATTCACCCAGCATTAATTGTCTTATCTGGTATCCTTTGGCATTTTGATCTACTAAGACAAGCTGAGAAGTTATGAAATCAAATGGTTGATTTCTCCAAGATCACACAGCTAGTGAATAGCAGAGCCATGGGTTAAAACCAAGTCCTTTTATAACTATGAGTATTTTAATCACTTCTTCCTATTGTCTCCCATTGCTTATAACCATGACCTCTGTGTCACCATCCATATTAATGGGTATGATATGGAGAAGCCAAGAGAGTTAACGAACATCTAAAATATTTTTAGCTGGGCTCCCTGGCTTACATCTGTCATCCTAGCTACTGAGGCGGCTGAGATAGAAGAATTCAGGTTTGAAGCCAGCCAGGGCAGCAAAACCAAACAGACAGTTATATATAGTTAACCAGCAAAAACCTAGAAATGGATCTGGCTCAAGTGGCAGAGCACCAGCTTTGCATGGAAAAAAAAGTCAAGCAAGAACACAAGACCTTGAGTTCAAGCCCCAATACATCTACTGAATGAATGAATGAATGTGTGCATGCATCAATTGATGTTGTTAAATAGAATGGTCATTTTACAGCACTGGTTACCACAAAGTTATTATCAATATCTAGTATCTACTGACTTTCAAAACATCCTTCTTCAAGGCCTTCCTCCAACACTCATACTCTACTTTTGTTTTTTGTTTGTTTGTTTTTTTTGCATTTTGTTTAAAAGACCAAAAGGGCAGGGCCCTTAAAATCATTAAAAGTCTATTTTAAGACCATTTGTGTCTTTCTTCTGGTCTCCTGGTAGCTGAAAATAATCCCTACATTTTTATTTTCTTTTTTTAAAATTATTTTTAAATTTTGTTGTCAAGGTGATGTACAGAGGGGTTACAGTTATGTAAGTAAGGTAGTGAGTACATTTCTTGCTGAACTTGTTACCCCTTCCTTCATTTTTCTAAAAATTATGGTAAAGATGCTGTACAGAGGAGTTGCAGTTACATGCCTAAGGTAATGAGTACACCTCCTGTCGAGCATTGTTACCCCCTCCTTTGCTTTTTTCCTACTATTTCTTCCCTCCCCTACTTCCCCCCTTTCCTCCCCACCTAAAGTTGTAAAGTTCATTTCCAACATAATACCTTGTGAGTCTCATTGTTGCAATGGGTCATCCTGTGTCCTTGTTTCAGCATTTTGTTATTCCCCTCCCCCTCCCCAAATTAGATAAATGTATAAACAAGATGCAAAGTACCAAAATCAAATACAGTGACAACAGAGATATACCATAGGGGGAAGAACATACAAAAGAAACAAAGAAAAAAATCACATAGGACATTAAAAAAACAACAACAAAGAAAAACCTCTTGTGTCCATATACTCCCTACTTTCAAGCTTCCTTGAGTGACTTCCCCTAGCTCTTTGTGAGAGAGATGAATCCATTCAGTCCACATGCTCTGCTACAACCCTAAGTCTCTCCTTAAGGACAAAGTTCAAGACTTCTGTATATCCCTTCTTCTAATAATTCCACAGAAGGGAATCAACCTGTAGACATGATGGAAAGAAACAAAATTCAACTTCTCCCAGTGGTGCCCCCCCGCCCCCCCGAGCACCTCTCCTGTACCTGAGCAGACAAATTGTTAGATGAACAAAAGTAAAAACAAGGTAACTGTAAATATCACTCTGTAACTTGGGACATGGTTCAAAGCAGGTTTACAGGATTGTTTGTCACCAATGATTATTTGGAGGTACTTGAGAAGAATGAACTGTCAAATACCCAGAGAAAAGGAAAGTGTATTAAGGGGCGAGATCTGGCAGTTAATAGAAGCTTCCGAGAAGTCTGCTCTGAGAAAAATTCATTTCAGAGTCCACCCGCTTTCCCACCCCACCATCCATCCAATTGATATTCACTAAACCTCAAGTGAGCTCCAGGTTCTCCTGTGTTCAGAATGCATAGAGCAAGAACTCTTCCATTCAGAGGTATGGAGAGCAGGCCATACATACACATTTAATTTTGAACATGCAGCAAGAGAGATGAAGAGTAAAGAATAAGAGCAAAAAAATAACTCTGAAGAATCAGGGAGGGCTTCACAAATCTGGATCTTGAGTTGGCATATTCCCCGGGAAAATAGGAGTACAGACAAAGCAGGTGCATGCTCTGCCTGCACAAACCTTGCAGATCAACAGGCGTGACACACACCCAGATTGAATGAGAAAGATGGATGGTATGTACACCAAAGAACATTCACACATGCAAAGGTAGAGTGAGAAGAGCCTGGTGTCCTTACCCCTTTGTGTGGCTTTGCTAAGTTGATACCAAACTGTCAAGGGCTATGCACTCTCTGAGTCTGGTGTTACCCTGGTCATTTGGGAATCAACAGGGTATATTATGCAAGAGTAGAGATAGTCTGGAGGGGGGAGTAACAGATAAAGAAGTCAGAGGCACTGTAGGGATCTGACACTTGTACATAGGGTAAAGACAGGTAAGAGGAACACAGAGACTTAAGATGGTGTCTTGAGCTAGGGACTGGTGGCTTATGCTTGTAATCCTAGCTACTTAGGAGGATCATGGTTCAAAGCCAGCCTGGGCAGAAAAGTTCATGAGACTCTGATCTCCAGAAAAATCAGAAGTGGAGCTATGGCCCCAAATGGTAGAGTGCTAACCTTGAGCAAAAAGAGCTCAGGGGCAATAACCAGGCCCTGAATTCAAGTCCTACAACTAACTGACAAAAAATAACTAAAAGATAGTGTCTTGATGACCAGTTGGACATTATGGAGAGAGAAGGAGTGACAGATGTCTCTCAATTTCTGCTTTGGAAATCTGAGTTGATGGGCAGCCATATTGCAGTTCCAGGGGTTCCATGTTGAAAGGTTCTGGCCAGGGAACAGTGGGGATACTTATGTGGGGTTTTATGGTTCTGTAACACACAGAAGGACAGCAAGGCCTGGTGAGACCATGGAAGAGCTAAGATAACAAAGCAGGAAGGACTTGATTGTAATGGAACTCGGTGTGCTACAAAGGAAAATGGTCTGTGACGTTCATTCTATGGTGGTTTCCATCCCAGTGATCCTGCCTCTAGTTCCAACACCACTTTCCCAACTTAGATCCTGTCTACAAACATGGGTGAGAAGAACACAATGGGAGAGGCCTTTAAAATCCATAAGTAGGGGTGACCATGACTGGTGTTTTAAAAAGGATATTATCAGGGACGTGGAAATACCTTCTTCCTAATACTTGGAGAATGGGGGGGGGGGGACTAAAAACAAATCCAATCTTTTCTAGTCACTTTCTAAAGACTGTGGGCAATTGAATGGACGAATCCCCATCCATCTTGCCTTAGGTCAGTGAGTTCTTAGGGGTTTTATGGAAAGATAAGAAATGACTCTTGGAAGTAGAGATATAGCTCAAGAAGGAGAGCATCAGCCTTGAGCAAAACAAGCTAAGTGAAGAGTGCCAGATCCTGAGTCCAAACCCTAGTACCAGCCCAAGAAACTACTCTTAATAGCTACTTGGAAAAATAAGACTGCCAGGCCGTTCCCAATGCTGCCTACTCGAGAAAGAGCAGCTGGCCCTCCATCCCGGGGCTGTGGGCAGGACTCACCTCTCCCACTCTTCTACTGAGAACTCTCAGATGTAAAGCTTCCACTCCAGAATAAGGAATGACTGGGCTCCAGTCCAAAGATGACTATTCACGATTCCCTTCAGCTAGTGACTTCACCTTTCATATTGGTTTCCTTCTTTTGACATTGAGGTAACAGAAGGAATATACTAATGTAGTGGTATTAGATGAGATAGTGCATCTAACATGGGTAGTACACAAAACAGGTACTCAATAACCTCTTAATTGACCAGCTAGCTCAATACTGAAGCATAATGCCTGGTGAATAGTATATACTTAATGTAAAATATTGACTTACTCACTCACTCATCTATAGGGGACCTACTAAGCACAGATACTGTTTGAAGCACTAAGAATACATTCAGGAGCATAGTTAAGTTCCTGATTTCACAGCTCACCTTCTGACAGAATACAGTCCACCTGGAAGCAATCCCAGACTGCCTCAGTCAATGCTTTGAAAATATTTTTTAGAACTTTGAAAGCAGGTGGGTGGGTGCAAGTTTCTTTTTTAAAATTTTTATTTTTATTATAAAGGTAATATACAGAGGGGTTACTGTTACGTAAGTCAGGTAATAAGTACATTCTTTTTTGCCAGTCCTGGAGTTTGAACTCAGGGCCTGAGCACTGCCCCTGAGCTTCTTTTGCTCAAGGCTAGTGCTCTACCACTTGAGCCACAGCACCACTTCTGGCCTTTTCTGTGTATGTGGTACTGAGGAATAGAACTGAGGGCTTCATGCACGCTAGGTAAGCATCCTACCACTAAGCCACATTCCCAGTCCCCTGAGTACATTTCTTTTAGAACAGTGCCATATCTTCCTTCATTTTTTTCCATTTTCCCTTCCAACCCCACTCCCCCACAAGCTGTATAGTTCATTTTTAACCTAGTGTCTAGTGAGTATCACTGCTGAATTAGTTCATCCTTTGTCTTACCATTCCTCTGCTTCCCCCTTCTACTCCCCAAATCAGATAAACTTACATACAAAAAGTACAGACATCAAAAAGAGCAACAAAAGGGGGAAAACAGCCACAATAACAAAACACAGAAAGTAAAACAGGGGGGCCAGGGAAGGTCTCTTCGTGGAGGGATAACAAGCGAAAGATCTGCACCAAGTAGTAGCTCGCTGCTGGATGGATGCGGATGAATTTCCATAGACTCCTTGAATCTCTTTGCAAACACGCCTGATCTATGTCATCAGCTCTTTCAGGAGTGGGGATCATGTCCTATATTTATTTGTAATCTACAAGAGTCACTCAATCAGCACAAGATAATAAGCTGCAAAGGACCTTCTGCCTCTGCTGAGTACTAAGTAAGAAAGTCCCTGAGGATGCTCTCTTCAGAATAAACACGGGGTACTGGAAGATTCCCCAGCAACTCCAGCAGCACTTAACGCTGGCTTTCCCTGAGCTACCTGTCTCACAAATTCTGTAGTAGAATATATTTATTTTTAATTATTCCCTAATTATTTCAGTCTTAACTACTCCTCTACGATGCATTTAAAAATGTTTCAGTTTTACTCCATTCCAATGTTTCTATACTGGGCATGGAGACACAGAACCCAGGACAGGAATTAAAAAACACTGGAACACCAAGTTCCTTGCAAACACAAAACTTTCTTCCTTTCTTTGTCTGGAGAGAGAGAGAGAGAGAGAGAGAGAGAGAGAGAGAGAGAGAGAGAGAGAGAGAGAGAGAGAGAGAGAGAGTATACTGGGGCTTAAAATCAGAGAGAGTGTGTACTGGGGCTTAAAATCAGGGCCTAGACACTGTCCCTTAGCTTTTTTGCACAAGGCTGGTGCTTTACCACTTGAGCCATACCTTCTCATTGGGCTTTTTGCTACTTAACGAGAGATAAAGAGTTTCATGGACATTCCTGCACAGGCTGGCTTCCAACCAGGATCCTCAGATCTCAGCCTTTTATGGATCTAGGATGACAGGCTAAGAAAACAGGCATGAAGCTCTGGTGCCTGGCTGGAATATGTTTCTTGTAACATTCCATCACCAGTTCTAGTTTAATCCTTACTCTCCTTCCTGGTTCAACCACATGCAGCCTTCAGAGAGTTGTCTTAGTGCCCACAGTTAACACCCACACCGGATGCACAAAACTGTCAGTGGTTTCATTCTGATGAAAATGTTTAACATACTCTATTAAGTCGGGAAGGCCTTTGTAGATGTCTTCATCATTAACACTTTCTTCTGTCGGGAAGGGTCTAGAAGAGAAAAGAACACAGATGAATGAGCACCCAAGCTGAGTCCCTGCCTCTCAGTAACTATGAAACCCATCAGTCACTGGGTCTCATGATGTTGAGGCTTCCCTGTGAACGAAGCTCCAACACCTGTGCCCTCAGCCATAACAGCTGGCCACACACACACACACAGGCCACTGGGGTCAGGCCAACGTGCTGCCCACTGCCTCAGACCTGCAGGCACTCACTGCAGTGTCTGGGTGCACAGAACCGCAGCTATTTTGGCCTTACCTCTGCAGCCTCTCTCCTCCACTGGCAGGTCAGATCCCATAGTTCATTTGGAAATGATCATCCTTTGCAAACTCAGTTCACTATTACAGCTGAAAACCATTAGCAGTCTAACACTCCTATCCCTTCTGGAAGATTCCCAATGGTGGCATGTTTTTCCACTTAGTTAACTTGTATTTTTCAGGGTTTTTGTTTTGTTTTTGTTTTGGTTTTTGGTTTTTGTTTTTTTTTTTGACAGATCAATCATCCAAACTTCAGAGAAAAAATAGGGTATTTTCACTGATTGCTGTTAAAAAAATAAATCACAATTTAATTTCTCCTGTGCCTCCCCGATGGGCTTCTCTCTGGATCTCTCCCCCCGCCCCCCCCCCCCCCACTCTGTCTCTCTGTCTCATTCTCTCCTGCTCCTTTACTCTCTTACACTGTACACTGGTACAGGGTACCCAGTACCCTGGTTCTAGGACTTGAATGTGAGGTCTGGGTATTGTCCCTTAGCTTTTTCACTCAAGGCTGGCACTCTTCCACTGGAGGCACACCTCCACATCCAGCTTTTAGGTGGTCAATAGAAGGTAAGGCCAATGGATGTTCCTGCCCAGGCTGGCCTTGAACTGAGAGCCTCAGATCTCAGCCTCCTGTGCAGCCAGGATTACAAGTGTGAGCCATCAGTACCTGGTCCACTTCAGCTTCTTTGTTTTACCCAATTGTACTATAATTGGTCTTTGGTAAGACCAATATGATAAGCCTAAATTTATTCCTAACAAGATAACAAGGCATTTTACTATTTCTTGTGTGAAGAGATCACATCATATGTTCCATCAAACATTAACCCTTAAATAATTACTACTTACATTAAAAAGCACACTTTTATATTGATGTATCTAATATGCAACATAGTAGGAACCTATATTTTGCAAATAAATCTACACAAATGAGAAACACCAAGACTTCAAAATCACTTTGCAAAATTTGGGTACGTTTTGTTACATGCATTGTAGACATCTATAGACCAATACAGAAAATATACATAAATACCAGAAAAAAGACTTATATTATCATATATATCATATATATATATAAGTCATAAATATATGCACCCTTTCAAAGTCAAAAGTATATACATAACAATTACATCATGCTTCATGATCAAAATTGACCACAAACATGTAAAATATATTTACACACATATATGTATATATATGTATATATATATATACATATACATATATATATATATATATATATATATATAGTCACAGGAAGATATTCATTGTTGAAGAGGAAGTTAGGAGCTTAAGAATAACAATAAAATTGTATTTTTTAGATACAATGAAAATCCATTCCATTTCTATGCAGCTTCTGTGTTACTACTGAATCTATTTTAATTTGTTTCCTAATGTTGCTCCGAGTACATCATTACTGACTACTGTAACTTAAGTATTGAAGCAGAACAAGCCTCAAGTAAATACATATGCTTACTAACTGCAGAATGCTCCACTGCAGAGAGATGGTATGATTTCGCCCATTTATTTGCAGGTCTGTCAGGTATTAGCAAACCTTCAATGTACATTCTTTTTTCTTCTGGGGGGGGGGGGGTCCAGTCGTGGGGCCTGAACTCTGGCCTGGGCGCTGTCCCTCAGCTCTTCAGCTCAAGGCTAGCACTCTACCACTTGAGCCACAGCGCCACTTCCGGCTTTTTTCTTTTTGCTTATGTGGTGCTGAAGAGTCGAACTCAGGGCCTCAGGCATGCAAGGTAAGCACTCTACCATTGAGCAACTTTCCTAGCCCTCAATGCACATTCTTATACATGCAGCATTTCATACATGTTTGATTCGTTTTTAAACTACTAATTTTTTTAAATTATCATGACCTCCTGGATAGTAAGTAAACATATTATAAGGTACTTTGAAATATTTAAGTATCCAAGAATTTGTGTTTGTCTTAATAAGTCCTACATACAGAAATGTTGGAGAAATTTGTTTTGAAAGCAATCTGAGAATGGTACATTACAAGTGCATCCCTACAGTGTCACTGCTTAGGAGGCTGGGACAGGAGAATCATGTGTTCAAGGCCAGCCTAGGCAATGCTGTAAGACTCTGTCTCAAAAACACACAAAGAAATTCTAGCTACTCAGGAGGCTGAGATCTGAGGATCAAAGCCAGTCCAGGGTAGGAAAATTCATGAGATGCTTATCGCATGGGTTCAAGTGGTAGAGTGCTAGTCTTGAGCACAAAAGTTCAAGGTCAGTGCCCAGGCCCCAGAAAAGTAAGATAAAATAAAATAAAAACAACCACAAAAAGGAGAGAAGCCATGCCAGTGATAGTCCCCATTAACTTAAGAACCATAAGCCACTTGAGGTTATATGAATATGTTATTATTTGCTCAGTAAAATTTATATGTGCATTTCACACTTACCTATCAGTCACTCTTCATAAGTGAGTGAACTAAACAAGATAGAATGAACCACAAAGAAATGAAATTACCTGATTCCTGTGGCCAATGCTATAGGTGTTCGAGAAAGTCGAGACAATGTTTCTATAACCTGAAGAAAGAAGAAAATGATCATTGGGCATGTGTTTTAGAAAATTCAAAGCAACAGTCTTCCAATTCAAAATTAACAATGGTAGCAGATTGTCAGTTTACAGGTGTCAAAGAAATAGAGAATGGGTACAGCCATGATTGGGAACTAGAAATCCCTACTCTATGATTGCAAAGAGCAAATTACTAAGCTGCCCAAGAAAAATAAGGAGTTAACCTAGCTCATCCCAAACGTCTATTTCTATTGCAAAATCTGGAAGGTCATAGGAACTTGTGTTCTCTGTTGTAACACCCACTGTCCAGAGATGGCCACATTTGTTAAAAGCTAAAAACAAGCTGGGCCCAGGTTGCTTACATCTGTCATCCTAGCTACTCAAGAGGCTGCCATCGGAGGATCGTGGTTCCAAGCCAGCCCAGGCAGAAAAGTCTGTGACTGTGAACTCCAATTAAGTACCAAAATGCTAGAAGTGAAGGTGTGGTTCAAGTAATAGAGCACCAGCCTTAAGCAATAAAATAAAATAAGTGGCCCCGAGTTTAAACCCCAGTATTGGAAATGTATATATGTGTGTGTGTGTGTGTGTGTGTGTATATATATATATATATATATATATATATATATATATACACACACACACACACACAACACTGAGGTTTTTAGTTATTGTGGCCACAGTTCAATTGTAGCAACTATGTGTACTGTATTAGACTACACAAGTATAAAATATTTCTATCACCACAAGAGGCATTGACATATAGAAAAGTGGGTTAGCATGAGAGAGCTCTTGAACCAGACCCCAGGAGTTCAAATCTTGCCTTTTCTACTAACTAGTCAGGCAACTTTGAGCAAGTCATCTAACTTCTCTGGCTTTTATTACTTCATGTACAGAGTGCATCTCTTAATAGTTAACTAATAATCATTAGACTAGTGTGAGGATTAAATAACACACTTAAAATATTTAAATGGTAGCAATTCCTTATAATCACCAACTTGAAGAAAATTGCTTTATTCTGAGTGTTTCCAAGAAAAAATGTTCCCAAATTACTCTTGATTATCTATTTCAAAGATTCCTCCTGCAGATCACATCAGTATGGAAACCTAAGTGTGCCCTGCTGCAGATTCATTCACATTTCTGCACACCAAGTTTACTCCTCCTGCAGTCTTTAGTACTAAGATCATTTTCACGACTTACTGAGAGGCCAGTCACCTGACATGTATTTTTCCCATCAACTTAGTTCTCAGGATGATACAGATAAACTTGTCCTAACTCTCAAAATTAGGCAAAACAAAATTTAAAAAGGTTCTGTTATATAGCCTATTCAAAGTTGCAAAAATTGTAATCCATCTCCTATCCATCTAGCCCAACAGCTGGGGGGAAGAGAACTCATAAAGGGGAGAAGAGAGAATTTATATAGCTTGAGTTGCTACAAAAATGGCCACCAGAGGGAGCCAGATGATAGTAGATTAGTTTAACATCATCATCAACTGCTTTTAAGGGCAAATGTGAAAATCAACCAGCTAAAACCAAGTCCTAGTCACTGATCTATGAAGCTTATTTATTATTACTCAATAATATAAAGATAACAAAGTTACTAATTCAGGAGTAAACAACAAATGGACAAAAAGAATGCAGAGTATCTTACAGTGAGTCTCTGTGAGAATGATCACTCAGATTTATAGCTCATTTTTTTGTACATAACTCTAAGTTTAGCCAAAACAAATGAAGACTGTGTAGTCAATGTGGTATTTTCAGAATAACGTACATCCTCTAAAGGGCTATTGTTTCCAGATTTGGAACAGACAAATATATAAATTCATGTCAGATTCTCAGATCATGCGTATGGAGTCTCTGACTAAAATATCCCAGAAAAAGTATTCATAAAACCAAAAGCATTTTTAAAAGCTATAAATTAATTAGTACACTTAAATCAAAATGATAGGAAATTGTGAATATTAATTCTAGATAAGGAGATGAGTTGGTAAAAATACTTTTACAAGCAAATTGGCCAATAACCAACAACCCCAAATCCACGTCATGAGATTTCCTTCCTTCACTCAGTTACCTCAGTGACTAAGACCAATGATCTTGGAAAACAAATAGAAGTCATTGTAGGTGACCTAAGTCACATTTGCTGGGTGAACGAGGACGGAAGGGAGATCATGGCTCCTCATGGTTGTTCACAAAGTGAGCATCCTATCCCAGAGGGGAAAAAAAATCCTTGAGGAAGTTTAGAAAATGAAATGACAGCTTCTACATTGTAGTTTGGAAAGATAACTTGGCAACGTGAAGAGCAGAGTAGGAGAAAGCACACGAAGGACAGACAAGAGGACAAGTAGAAGGTTGGCTCAAGGGTCCCCGTGGGAATGGAGGAGTGGGGATGAGCAGCAGGGGTGAGGTGGTGAAGCTGGGAAAGGAAAAGGTCTTTGGGAACAGTGTTGAGCTGCAGGAGGCCAAGAAGGAAGCAGAAAACCCAGAAGAACTTGTGTGATCAATGGACGCACTAACAGGGGCTTATGGGGTGCTTCTGAGCAGCAGTTCCTGCCTCTTTCTCCCTCTGCATGGCTGACAGGTCCAGCCCAAGCTCAGCAAGGATGTCTGCTTCTCCAAGGAGCCTTCTCCAACTCTCTCCGGTCCCCCAGCCTGGGCTGTGTCCCCGTAAGACCCGGGATATGACTCTGTACGAGCACCTACCCATTTATTTAAAAAAAAAAAAACTTTTTAAAGGCCTTTGAAAAATATTTGGGCACTGGTGGCCCACGCCAGGAATCTTAGCCACTCAGGAAGCTGAGATCTGAGGAGTAAGGTTCAAAGCCATCTCAAGCAGGCAAAACCTCAAGACTCTTATCTCCAATCAACCAGCAAAAAGCCAGAAGTGGAGCAGTGACTCAAGGGGTAGAGTATTAGTCTCGAGCAGAAAAGCTAAGGGAAAATAGCCAGACCTTGAGATCAAGCCCCAGTACCTCAAGAATGTGTTTATTTCTCCAAACTAAAATAATATGCAAATATATAAAATGTGTCTCCTTCCCGCCTTTCCCACTTTCTGTCTACAAGGAGTGACAGCTGAGAATCTGGTGACCTGTTGCAGATTTTTTTTCTTTTCTCTTCTTTATGTTTGATTTTTAATTAATAAGTTGCTATTCTTCAGATTTTTTTTCTTAAGGTATTCCTAAAGTATGATGATACACACCTTTGTCACAACACTATACGTGTCACTTTGCATGTGTCTACTTAATTTGCTCTGCTGTGGTGTCCCACTCCAGTGTTTGTAAGCAGATGAACAATTCTGCCATTTTGCTGTCAAATATCTTTTTCCACCTTTTGCTGCAAAACCTGTGCTTACCCTCCTTCCCACATATTCTTTCTAGTGTGCAAGCATTGCTATGGGAATAATTATTAATTGGGGTGTCTAAGACAAAAGAAATGAGACATGCTCTTCAAACTATCTACAGGAATTTAGACCCCTAAAGAATCCACAAGAACACAACAGAGCATTCAAGTGATATGTTAAGCTGCTTTTCCAGCAAAGGAACAAATCTCCAGGACCCGGAACACCAATTGCTTCTTATCTAGGTCACAGACTGGAAACAACTCCTTAGCTGAGCAGGAGTGGCTCACATCTGTAATTTTAGTTACTTTGGAATTCAAAGTTCAAGGCCAGACTGGGCCAGAAGTTTGCAAGACCCCATCTTAGCCAATAAAAATCTATCATGCCAATTGTCCCAGCTACAAGAGAATCTCAGTACAGGCGGTGGCTGTGGCACAAGACACATCCTAATGGAAAAATAACAAATGCAAAACAGGGCTGGCAGGAAGGCACAAGTGGTAAGGCACCTGTCTGTTAAGCACAAGGCCTGGTTTTCAAACCCCAGTACAGTTTAAACACAGATACATGTTTAACACAAAACAGCTGTTGTTCAAACAAATGCAGGAGTAATGCCTGTCGTACAAAGTTATTGAGCAGATTAAGGATAATGTGTGTCCAGATGTGTAAAGGGCTTATCCTGGCACAAGTAGGAAATGAATAAATAATTCACCATGGAACCCATTATAAAAATTAAATATTAAGTACAGGCACCCTAGAGCCAATGAACATCCTAGTAGCCCCCACCAACGTTTTCCCTCTCTAATGATATTTGTCTGACCTCTATTTTTACCATCCCATTAGTCCCTTTGAAAACTATTACATAAAGGAGAACGCAGCCTTGTACACTGACCGAGCTTACCCATTTTCAACCATTCTCCTTGGGAGACACCTGGCCTTCCCTACTCTGCTCATGTCGTGGGGGGGTCATGCTGTTGCCATGGTAACCTGTACCTAGCCATCACCTATACAGAAGCAGTGAGGACTCCTCACCACAGAGAATAACCAGAAGGGACCATGGGAACCCACATGAAGAGCCACCAACACGTGGCTAACTGGCTATGGATGAACCTCCCTGAGCTTTCTTTTCTTGTCTTTTTGCCAGTCTTGGGCCTTGAACTCAGGGTCTAGGCACTCTCTGAACTTCTTTTGCTCAAAGCTAGCACTCTACCACTTGAGCCACTGCACCACTTCTGGCTTTTTCTGTGTACGTGGTGCTGAGGAGTCGAACCCAGGGCTTCAGGCATGGTAGGCAGGCACTCTCCCACTAAAGGTGGCTACCTTTCCAGCCCCCTCCCTTGAGCTATCTGCTCTTCAGTTTTCACTCTTAACTCATTCCTTGACCCAATGAGAATGGACTCTTGGCATCATGTGACATTTTTCATCAGAGGCACCAGACACAGGTACTACCTGTGGGTCCTACAGGCTCAGGGTGAAGGCCCTGAGCAATAGAGAACCACCGAGGGTCCATAACAGGGCTGGGAATGTGGTACGGGGATGTTGGGCTGAGACATACACAGGGAAGCGTGAGCTCATACAGCAGGTCATCAGTATGGCACACGGGCAGGCAGCAAAGATGGTGCTGAGAAGGAGTTGAGTGGGCAGAGCCCGAGTTGTTTACGTTAAAATCTGATTGGATACTCA